TGTTAATACAATTATCAATTTTAAGATTAATAGTAAGATGCCATATTTTAATTTTTTAATAGTTTATTTAAAGGATAGGATTTTTTTTTGTTAAGAAAAAGTGAGTTTTATTATTTTATCTATTTTGTTATTAAACATTTTAAGTTTTTAATGTGGTAAAATTCCAATTGTGTATTTATACTTGTTTAAAAAAGCAGACTCTCAGACCTTTAACATCATGGGTGGTTTCTGGTTGCAAATTGACTATAGTTGGTACTTAGTTGATACTAAATTATCCTCTAGACAGGAATTCTGGATAGAGAAATATCTTAGTTCAATACTTTAACTAATTACTCCCTGAACATTTTGTTTTTATCAATTTTGCTAAAGGCTTTTTCAGTAAGTACTGATTTATTTATTGCGTTTTATGAAAAATAATCACTCTAAAGTTTATTTTTTCCCAAATTTTAAGGTGCCACAAGGATTTATACGGTATTATACAGTATTATACGTGTATTATACGATATTATACAACAAAAAAATAAAATACCGTATTTTAACAACTCTAGAAATATCCTTAATAACTTCCTAATTAAAATATGATGAGATAAGCTGTAGATAAGGTGGAAACATTTTGTATAAGAATAAGAAATTAAATTATAAGAAAAATATTCATTAAGTGCTAATTTATTAAAACATTGAAGTATCAATTAACGTTAATTAAAAAGTAAATTTGAATTTAAACTGAAATTACTAAAACTTCTTTAAATTTATTTTTTGTGATCACAAAATTATCACCAACTCAAATTTTTTTTACATGAATAATTTTTATTTTAAGACTAAAATATTTGAAAATATTACAGTAGTAAAACCTTTAAACATCAATTATTTTATGAGAAAAATAAAAAAAAAAAATTACCTGCAAATGCAATTGTAATATAAATAACGAAGTGTAATAAAACAGTTTTATTTTTAAACATAATTGAAGCTTATAAAAATTCTTTTAATGGAAGTTATTATATTTTTGAAAAAAATTATATGGATTTATTCAATTAGAAACAATTTAAAGTTCTTAATGAAGTCAATATAAAGCTTGTTTTATAGGAAATTCAGCTTAATTTAAACGGTTTAGATGTTTTATTTTGGTTACTGATGACACTATTGACGACAACTGTAATAATTAATTCAATAATTTTTTTGTAAATAGAGTCGTAATCAGTATTAATAACTATAATTTTATACGCCATTAATTCAGCACTGTAAATTCAAGAAAAATTTATTATACTGAAACTACATGATCAAATTATTAAAATAATTGTTACTTCTTTCAAAAATATTACATAATGAATTTAAATATAAGATTCTTAGAATAATGATATTTGAAAATAATAAGATTTACTTATAATAATAATAATAATAAATTAGGCAGTCTATCATATCAACTTTCAATAAAATGAATTGCTGCCATTTATTGTATAAATTATAAAAAACTTATAAAGTGTCCTGTCACAGTGCAACACACAAAATAACCAAACAATTACCTTATTTTGTTGACCAATTAAATACGGTCAGATAGGTTTTTGACTAAGTTAACTTTCCCGAATTTTGTTTATTTTCAATTCCATAGCTTATAAACCTCAAAAAGAAGGGCACGTGTTAATAATAAGAGATGAGCATAAAAAAACCCAGCACAGGGGGGTCGGGTACAGTAGTGCCGTGGTATAGTTGGATCAAATATAATGATATCTGACAGTGATTATAATCACTATCAAAAATAAACGCTTCCAAGCAAATCTTTATATAGTGTTTAATTTTTAAAAAATTGGTATTTTATTCCAAAAGCTACATGATCTGCTGGTTCCTTATTAATATCTTGATGAAGATAAAGATAAAGATGTCGAATGAAAAAGGGTTTATTAAAAAATATTATTTCTCATAAAAAAATTGTGTGGATCCATACACTTTTCAATAAGTTATAGCATTATAAAGTTAAATATAATATAAAAAAAAACCCAACACAGTGGGGTCGCAGCACAGTGGGGACGTTGAATAGTTGGGTCCAGTATAGTTTTAATCTGACAATGATTAAAATCACTATCATAAGAAACGCTTCGATGCAAATCAGTAGATAGTGTTTAATTCTAAGAAATTGGTGGGTAATTACAAAAGCTGCATGATCTGCTAGTTCCTTATAAATACCCTGATTATGATAAAGTATGTCGAATGAAAAAGGGATTATTAAAAAATATTATTTCTCATAAAAAAATTGTGTTGATTCATACACTTTTCAATGAGTTATAGCATTATAAAGTTAAAAATGTAACCAACCCAGCCCAACATCAACTCCTATTTCCTTAATTATATCCAGATTAGTAATTCGTTTAATTATATATTACATAATTTTTATAATTAATTATTTTCAAATTATTATCGATTTTTAATATGTTAAAAGTAATCATTTTGATCCAACTTCTTTTTGTCCTTTAAAGTGAAAGTTTTATTTAAAAAAAAAATGAATTTATTACCATAACTTTTAACTCAACTTGCAAGTTTGAAATAGATATTATTAAATAGAAAAAAATGAAATTGGTAGATTATTTCAAAAACAACAATAACACTTATTCCCTGAATTTTACCTCGATTTATAATTATAATATATGAACACATAATAATTACAGTAATTAAATTGAGTATGAAAGTGGTATTCAATAATATAATATTGTAATTTTTACGGAGATATTATAAAAATAAAAAGGAGTTGTATATTCATATACTTTTAATGCGTATACAAATTTAAAGGAATTTATGCAATACTTTTTAATAAAAAAATTTTGTTACTTATGAATAAATACACTAAACAAAAGGAACTTTCATCAGAAAAAAAATATACTTTTCTAAATAAACTTTTCGTGATGTTTTCAAATGTGCAATTAAACTTTTTCTATTACTTCTAAGTTTTAATATTATTACTTATTATTAAAAAATAAGTATTTACATATAAAAAAAAATAATTAAGAACAAAAAAAATTGTATTAAATTAATACTGATTTTGATTTTTAATATGTTAAAGGTAATCATTTTGAACCTATTTTTTATTGTCTTTTAAAGTGAAAGTTTTAATGAAAAATACCTTCTCAGCTTCGCATCGAAGCTAAAAAATGAATTTGTTACCATAACTTATAGTTCAACTTGCAAGTTTGAAATTGACATTATTAAATTGAAAAAAATGAAATTTTTAAGATTAATATGCAATCTGGAAATATTATAATTACTATTTACAGTACATTTATCAGAAAAATTCGATTTTTTTGAATTTTTATCGTAATAGATAACTGAAATAGAAAGAATAGTAATCATTTCCTAATAACTTTTGAGGTTTAAAAAGATTCTGCAATTGAAATATTCAGAACTTAATTAATTATAATGATTTACTTTAATTAAATGAACCAATCAAACCAAAGTTGTTAAAAATATTTACTTAATTGAGCGTATTATCAAAAATATAATTATAATTGTAAAAATCCATCGTTAAATTCAGGTGAAACTAAAAATCATTTTTTTTTTAAATTTATGATTTATATAGCAACATATTACAAAAAAATTTGGCATATTATAGACTGGTAGTAGCACACACAAATAGAGGTAAAAAATTAATAAATTATAAAGTAAAATTATTTACTTTTGTAGTTGAATTATTTTATCATATCAAATCTAATTCCACAATAAATACTTTAAGAATTTTAAAAATTAATGATATTAATTGTTTGTATGGAAAAAGCTGGTTAAGCTACTTTTTATTTGAATAAGGAATATTTTTTTGATTTTTAAGAGTAATAACTTAAATATCATAAACTTAAATGAATCATTTGACGTATCGTTGAAAAAAGTAGGTCTAGTGAGGGTTGTCAAAATAAATAGTAGCCACAAATAAACTACATAGTAAAATAATATTAACATGAATATATATTTCTTTTCACGAAGGGAGACTATAGTGATAAGATCCTTTATATTTATTGAAATTATTGAATCTAAATGAGATAAATATCAAATGATTTGAAAATTCTATTCTAACTCAAAAAAAAATGCAAAATATTAATTGCCACAGAGGGATTTGAACCTCGTACCCTAAGCGATATAGACACAAGTGTTACCTATTCGGCAACTGTTCGTTGCTTTCGTTGCATGATAAAAATGGCTATTTAAGCTAACTCAAATTAAACAATTTTTCGACTTTAAAAAAGTAAAAAAATTTTAATAAATTCAATTTCATATGTCTTATGAACTTTATTCTATGTCAATTAAATTATATAATATTCATGAAAGTCAGTTTATTCTCCTAATAAGATATTTTAAAATAAAATAAAATACAAAACCTAGTATTTTAATAAAAAATAGCATATTTTTGAATACGGTAGCCATTTGCGCATAAAAGATAGGTCGTCGGGACAAATTTTTTTTTTCATTTTATAGTACATAAAATAAGCTTTAATTTTATATATGTTAAAACGCAGTATTTCCGGAACATTTTCAAAAATTAAGTTGAAAAAGTTAGTTTTTGTAAAAAAGTTGATATTTTAAATCTCCCCCAATGAGCAGAATAAGTGTTACATTTTCAAAAAGAATGATATAAAATGAAAGGAAAATATCTAAGATTTTAGTTTAAAAAAAATTATGTTGATATGTTGATTTTTGAAAAAGTTATGGAAGTTTTAAGAAAAAGTAGTGAAAAAAATGACAAAATTTATCGATTTTTAAATTTGTAATTTTTTTGGATATTTCCCCCAATTGCGGGGAACAAGGGAAAATATTTAAATTTTCAAGGGTAATGTCTTCAACTAGATACGATTTGTGATCTTTTGACGTATTGTTGAAAGGAATCGGTCCAGTGAGAGCTAAGAAAAAGTAGTGACAGACACAAAAAAAAAAACAAAATATAAACACATCATGGTAAAATTATTACCTTCTCAGCTTCGCATCGAAGCTAAAATAAAATCGAGAATTTTCCCACGAAAATAGCATTCGGTAGCCATTTTTGCCGTGAACACAATTACAGAGGTCAAATTTTTTTTTTTTAATTGAAGTATATTACATTAGCTTTATTTTAAGATATATATATCTTATATATATTATATATTATAAGATATATGTATAAGTGTCAGACCTTCCGGAACACTTTCAAAAGTTAAGATGAAAAATTTCTACTCTAAATATGCATTTTTTATACTTGAAGCCCCCTCCCCCCGTATATAAGAAAATGGTCTGATTTAAAAAAAAAAATCAAATGTCCAATGAAAGATGTATATAAATACTACTTCTTATGAAAAAGTTGTATTNATCAAATGTCCAATGAAAGATGTATATAAATACTACTTCTCATGAAAAAGTTGTATTAATCCATACATTTTTTAAAAAGTAATAGCACTTTAAATTAAAAAATGTAAATTATAAAATCGAGAATTTTCACACAAAAATAGCATTTGGTAGTCTTTTTCACCATGAAGACAAGTCCAAAGGTCAAATTTTTTTTTTCAAATTAAAGTACATTACATTTGCTTTAATTTAAGATATATATAAAAGTGTCAGACCTTTCGGAACATTTTAAAATGTTAAGTTGAAAAAGTTAATTTTTTGTGAAAAAGTTGTCAATTTAAATCCCCGCCTGTGGGCAGATAAAGGGTCAGATTTATAAAAAAATTATACCAAATGATAGGTAAAGACATCATGCATCTACAAAAAAAAGAATAATATTGATCCATAGATCTTTTAAAAAGCTATAGCATTATAAAGTTAAAAATATAAAAAAGAATTTTTNGAGAAGTTATAGCATTATAAAGTTAAAAATATAAAAAAGAATTTTTTTACAAAAATCGTATTTTTTTTATTAATTTTGATGTCTGTTTTCACCGTGAAGATAAGATAAAGTCCGAAATGTTTTTTTTTCATGATAAAAAATATTACATTAGCTTTATATATAAAAGTGTCAGACTTTCCGGACACTTTCAAAAGTTTAGTTGAAAAAGTTGTACTTTCTATATGCATTTTTTTAGATTTAAACCCCCTCGTATATAGGGAAATGGTCGGATTTAAAAAAAC